ATATTCTAATCAGTATATATTCTTATCAATATTACTATTTAGAGAATTTTCCTCTTAAAATAAGAAACTCTTCTTGGCGCCTATTTTAGTATAAAATATACTTAAAGTAAGTGGGATATCTCCTCAAAACAAGAATACAATTTTTTTGGTGTATACGTACACACGCATAAAACAAGAGAAAAAGAGACGCAAACGTCCTTTTTTTCCGACAATGTGGCGATTTTCGCGTGTAATGAAGACTTTTCGCGGCTCTTCACATGTTGCCTCGCGCTCTCTGACAGTCGGAAGAGCTGAAACTTAATCGCCGGGCCGGATATCATCAGTCACATCCTTTTGAGTGACTACGAGGGATGTCTATATAGTAAAGAGAAAGAGAGAGATCGAGGAACACGAAACGTTGCTGGTCCTCAGATGCGAAATCGCGGCAGTGTCGTTAGCTCCTATTCAATCTCTGGATTTGATTCTTCCGGTTGAGCGCTTTTCAAGCGTGGGATCACGCGACTCGAAACCCCGGGGCGGATTTTGCAAGTTTTAGCGGAGCGTAGAAATTTAAATCGGCGCGCTTGTTTACGCGTCTTCATTTAAATTAGATTACTCGGAGTTAATCTCGCGAAGTAGCAATCTGTTCGGATCGCGCCGAACACGCCCCTCCGTTATGCCAATCTCCTCCTAAGATTTGCATGAAAGATGATGATGGGGAAATAAGATAGGGGAAAGGATTGCGTTATCAAGTTCTATACAGAGTCCAAGATCGATGACTACGCTACAAAAAGTAGACACGTCAATTTGTTATAAGCTCTCTCTCCTCTCTCTCTCTCTCTCTCTCTCTCTCTCTCTATCGATTAATTAAATTTAGTTCAACTAAATATAATTATTTTTTCGAGAAGTTTTATATATTACTTACACCGAAAAAATTATATTCTCGTAAGTAGAAGATTTTATACTTAAAAAATCTTCTTAAAAATTTTAGATGATATTCTTCTGAAATTAAGAATATATTCTTTATTTAAGAATATAGTCTTTTTCGATAATGAGATATGTTTTTTTTAATAATTAAAAATAATATAAGTGTTAAAATTATTATTATACTGTATTAGTTTACATTTTATTATAAAAATAATAATTAAAAAGAATATGAATATAGATATAGATTATGATCATTAAAAATCAAAAATTAAACATAATATGTATGAGAAACTTTAAAATGTAATAAAAATAAAATTATTTAAAAAATCTTACAAAATATCGTTATTAATGCAAAAGATATATAGATTACGTACTGATTATATATACATAAATCTAATTAGTATATATTCTATTAGTATATATTCTAATCAGTATATATTCTTATCAATATTACTATTTAGAGGATTTTCCTCTTAAAATAAGAAACTCTTCTTGGCGCCTATTTTAGTATAAAATATACTTAAAGTAAGTGGGATATCTCTCCTCAAAACAAGAATACACACACACACACACAATTTTTTCGGTGTATACGTGTAAATTTTCTAATAATTCATTCTCATGTCATGAATTCCTTTTAAATTGTAAAAAATAAAAATGTAATAGAGATGTATACAGTGGTGTATATTTTGACCGAAACTTTTGCACGCGCCACTATATATATATATGTCGTCTACGAGTTTGTCACGGGTGAATTTGCAGATAAAACGTCTGTTTAAAAGAATAGTGAGAAACTGTATGTAGCTACAAAAAAATTCATATATATATATATATACACATCCCTCTCTCTTTTTCTTCTTCTATGATATATAGCAAGAGTAAATATCGCTCCGAAGAACAGGAGGAAGATCGAGCGAAAATAAATGATCCTCGCGAAGAGTGGGAAGCTAAGCGAAAAATGATGAGAGAAGAAGACGGAAAAGTCGGGAAAACTCACCTGTTATTCTTGCTTCCCGTGAAGTCCTTAAAGCTCGCAGTCTTGTCGGGTAGGACGTAAGGGTTGGTGACGTCCGAAAGAAAGGCTTGCTTCGAAAAACCGAGCTGCAACCTGCCGTCCGTTCCGATCGTGACGTTGTTCAAATTTTGTAAACATCGTTCCACGGCTATACTGTCGCCCATCTGGATCATAGCGCATCCTTCCTTCGTCTTCAAGAATTTAACCTATTGGGAGAGAGACAGAAATAGAGCAAAATAGCGAATGAAAGACTACTTCAGGTTTATCGCTCAGGTTGATGCGCTACGTAAAAGTACACGGGCGCTCACGAAACGCGTAAAACCCGCAGCAGCGCGGTTTCTTTTCTCGAAATAATCCGCGATCGATCTCTCTCTCTCGCGCGTCGGAGATATACTTTACATCAAGAATTAACCGTAAGGCTCTCTCTAAACCGCATATAAAATTCGATAAATTGTAATAGAAAAAAGTGAAATTGCTGAAATTTTTATGATAACTACACTATTTTTGTTTTGTTCAAAATCTCGTCTATATAAGTATACAACATATACAATAAATTTATTCGTCATTGTTCATCGTTTTGTTGAAAATTACTTGCGGCTCGATTAATAGGCGTTTCACACTGTAAAAAATCGTGCGTCAAAATGTAGAACTTTTCTTGCGTTACGACGTTTTGATTATTACTTCAATGTAAAATTAACATAATACTGATATGTTATTATTTTTTTAATTTCTTTTCACACGTGTTAAATTTATGTTAACTTCACAAATTAACATTTTTTGCATGTCATTTAAAAATGGAATATTGTTTAAGTACTTTTAACACAATGATTTTTCAATTAATCTAGATGTCTCAAAGTCAATTTAACATACTAAAAAAATTTTAAAAATCTGCGGCCACATTGTACAAACTAAAATGTTTTTTATTAACATTTCTTACGAGTTACTGTAACTACTGTTTTGTGTAGTTTCAATTATTTTATATGTTATTTTTACATCACGCTTACAGTCAAAATAACAAATATATAAATGTAAAGTATTGTGTCAAGTATTTGACTTTACTAGTTTGTCAATAAGTGACTCACAACGAATGAGTTATTTTAACGTAAAAAATTTAAAGTGAACCTCCTGGAACATGCAAAAAATGTTAAAATTACCTTTTTTTTTTTTTTACTGTGCAGGAACAATCATTACTTAACCCTTATTACCCACGTGGGGTCCGTAAGACCCCCGGCGTAACTTTGAGCGTACTTTTAAGTAAGTAAAATTCCAAAGCGAGACTTGTCACACCATCCGTTGGTAGATATATGAATATGATTTTTTGATTGAAGAAAGTCGATTTTCTACGATTTTTATAAATTCGCGATTTTTTCAAACATATTATAATAAAAAATTCAAAATCAATAAATAACATTCTTCTGATTCAGCATCCTTTAGAGAGTATCTGTGATTTTTTTCCACATGAAAAAGTGAATAGAGTACTTTCTAGAACCTTTTGAAAAGACTGGGGTCCGGTGGACCCCCAGTGGGGTTTACGGAGATAAAGTGTGGGTAACAAGGGTTAAAGGTGTAAGACGTGTGTGTACAGCAGTCTTACGAGAGATTGTTCCAATTAACCCTCGGAGAACACACTGGGTCAATTTGACCCTGTTCGTCGACTTTGATCAAAATATTTTGCTTCAATTTTGCTTTTCTGCAACATATTTTGTTTACAATGTTAATAATGTTAACGACACTTTAAAACTATATATAGGCATATTCCAAACTGTTCGAAATATATCCGAAAATTTTTTTCAAGCCAATCGGATAAGTGCATTTTAAATGGTAGCATCTCAAAAAGACAGGGTCAAATTGACCCAGATTGTTCTTCTTGATTGAAAAAATAGGTGCGTTCCCCGAGGGTTAAATATAAAGCTCTACTCCGAACAATTTGCTTCTTGCCGCTCTAATCCTCCTTTTTACAAACGCAAAATCGACTATACACAAAAATTTCCGTCTCTCGTTACAAATACAAGTATGCGATGTAAAGGACACACAAGCGCGCAATGTGTGTACCAACTGAACGCGTCGCTGGTTAAATCATGCGACCCTTTTGTCTAGTCGCCGTGTATATATCGGCATGTTACATTTACACACTCCAAATACGGGGTTCCAAATACGGAGCATAAAGATCCTCGTGCAGAGAGAGAGAGAGAGAACTAAATCTATCGTATCATCAACTCACCTTCGTCACGTTGCCATATAGGCAGAACAGGTTGAAGAGCTTGTCCGTATTGACTTTGTCTGGCTGCAAACCGTACACCATCATGACCGAGCCCTGCGTGCTGCTAGGCGGTGTTTGACCCAGGGTGGGCACGTAACCCGGCCGTGGTGGTGTGGGATGTAGAGGTTCTCGTCCGCTGAAGTCGCTCTTGATGCCGTAACGTTCGACATACGGCTCCGCGTACGTCGCCGGCCCGTTGAAGTTCTCCTCATAACGATCGTGACCGGCGCCCGGCGGGAAAGTGACCTGTGGCGTGGAACCTGGAACCGCATAAAAACAAACGCACACGCGCGATCAAACACACATTGCGAAATGAGGATGCGCATAAGATTATAATTATATAAACAGGTATTGTTTCGGTTCATCATCATCATCGCGCGCGCGCGCGCGAATCATCTATCCGCGCAATTGATGAACCCCCTCCCCGCAGCTATCGAGAATCGATATCTCTCGTTGTTCGCCAAAATCGGAACACAGCGAATAGAATGACGAGAAATTTAATTTTGCACTGGTACAAGTGCAATCTTGTTTTGAAAATGTACGCGGCGCTGTAAACTAGTGAGTCATGAACAGTCGGTGTAAAAATTGTGTGAGGTTTGGGCTTCAATAATGAAAGGAGAATAAATAATGGAGTGATTCATGAATACTGATGAAATACTTGAGAAGATTGTCGGTGTCTTCGTATTTACGAGAAACGCTGATACGACTATCTGACTACTTATCAAGGAGCCGAAATTCGAGATAAAACTCTTGAAAATAAAGTTATTTTAGAAATATGTATATATTTAACACGTTATGTCTTACGATTGTAACGAACACGTAGAACGTGAAACAAATTAAAAATTGAAAAAATAAATTCTTGATCGTGAAAGGAGGCGTTTCTGAACTAAACGCAGGAAGTTTTTGCACAATGAATATAATATTAGATCTACCGGAAAGTTCTGTCCGTTTTTGGAATAAAAACAAAATACAAATTTTTCTTACCGTCAATAAACTTTATTTAAATAATACAATTGCCATTATTATTAATGATTTCTTGCCGGCGTGAGGGCAATTTGTATATCTCATTTTTGAAAAATTCAGAAAAATTTGTATTTTGTTTTATTCCAAAAAAAACGGACAGAACTTTCCGGTAGACCTAATATCTTCTAGATTAAGAACAAACGTTTCGACTATTTATTTTTAGTCATTTCTAAGTCAAAACTAAGACAGTTTTGTGAAGTAATAACCAAGATTACAACTGTGTAATATTTAAGTGACGGTTGAATTCGAAAGAACACTGAGGACGACTAAAAATAAATAGTCGAAACGTTTGTTCTTAATCTAGAAGATATAATTCATTGCGCAAAACTTCCTGCATTTAGTTCAGAAACGCCTCCTTTCACAATCAAAAATTTTTTACTAGAACTAAACCTGAGGATCACCTCTGTTACTTTATTAAAAAATAAACTCAAGCAATAATTTCTTATTGTATAAATAATAATAATTAGAATAAAGGTCTCTATCTTTACACATATATTATAAAAAAGCTTTTTTCAAAAATATAAAAAAAAAAAAAAAATTATTTCGTTAAATATATGTGTATGCATATATATATATATATATATTTAAGCACATTCTCTGCACAACATCCTGCAAAACGGCAACATCCTCAAGCAATCCGATTTTAATTCATATATTAAAAAAAAAAGTTCAACATATTAAATTATTATTAATTCAACATATTGGTTTTCAGTTTTACGCAAAAAGGTCAAAATAGAAAATAAAACAGATTACCGACAAAGCCTTGTTCCTCTTTCTTTGGAAGCGATTCAACTCTCTCTTTAACCGGGCGTAATTTGAGCCAGCGATTCTCTATTGGAATGGTAATGCAACGCTTTGTCCCGATACCGGTGTGTATCCGAGTATTAAATGTTGCGACAAATGGTATCGATTAGAACGTCGCGGGGTTATTGGAAAAGGTAAAGTCGGCGTGGAGCTATGCGGCGGTAAGTTACGATAATGTTTTCAACTATCGGATTACATCGTGCAACGAGGCTCGAGAGAGTGGTTTCGATTGCCGTACGCCCCCTCAACGTTAACGTACGGTCCATCGATTTTACGTCAAAATCGTAATAGGATCTCTCTCTCGGCAACTGACTTGACTTACAGCAATAGTTTCAGACTGAAGATATAAACCGCGAATTATTTTCCCGAAGTCAATATCGGGCGCTCAACAGTACACAAGAAGACTTGTTCCGAAAGCTACGTAGAAGCTCCATTGCAATCTTTCAAGATGCAACGTCGACGCAACAGCGTCACGCTTCTACGTGACAATTCTGCTCTTTTGCATTATTAAATCGATCTTTGGGATAATCAGAGACAAAGTTCTTTCGTAAAACAAACATTATATTCAATAAGTTCAATAAATTCTAGCAGTTTGAAAATAGATTGCGCTAATATGGTACACGATGTAAAAAAAAAAAAAAAAAA